TAATATGTGGAGGTTTTAAAAATACAGATGAGGGGCACCTGGGTGGCTCAGTTGGTTAAGCATCTGCCTTCGACTCAGGTCATGATCCCGGAGTCCTGGGATTGAACCCAGCATCAGGCTCCCTGCTCAGCAGAGAGTCTGCTTCTCCCTCTGCCCTTCACCCCGCTTGTGCTCTCTCTCTCTCTCGCTCTCTCAAATAAATAAATAAAATCTTTTAAAAAATTAAAAAAAAAAATACAGGTGAGACCAGTTTCCAGCAACATGGCAGACTTAGGTCAGAAAAACACTTCCAGGGTGCCTGGGTGGCTCAGTCATTAAGCGTCTGCCTTTGGCTCGGGTCATGATCCCAGGGTCCTGGGATCCGGTCCCACATCGAGCTCCCTGTTCGGCAGGAAGCCTGCTTCTCTCTCTCCCACTCCCCCTGCTTGTGCTCCTGCTCTCACTATCTCTCTGTCAAATAAATAAATAAATAAAAATCTTTAAAATAAAAAAAAGGAAAGAAAAACACCTCCAATGGGGGGGGGGGGGCGGGTAATGGCTGAATTAGCGTCAAAACAAGAGAATTCCTTAGAAGCCAGAAATAACAAAAGAAGTTTAAGATCCAGACAAGTAAGCATTAGTCCTAAGGGTATCCAATGACCTTTTGTGACCTATGGCCTGGCTACCGAAGTTCTACGAAATAGAGGTATAGCTTAGAACTTGAACAGGTAAAAACTTCAGTGACAGAGAACCATTTACCAGGATATAAAATAACAATGCCTTTGGGGAAATGGGGAAGATAATATTTATCTCTGCCTTGGCTCCTGGTAATACAGGAAAAAAAAAAAGTCTCCTGAAAATTCCTAACATTATCCTGCATTCACCCAGTGTGGGGCCTGAATTCACACCAAGAATTACAGCTGAAGAGGGGCGCCTGGGTGGCTCAGTCGTTGGGCGTCTGCCTTCGGCTCGGGTCATGGTCCCGGGGTCCTGGGATCAAGCCCCCGCATAGGGCTCCCTGCTCGGCAGGAGGCCTGCTGCTCCCTCTCCCACTACCCCTGCTTGTGTTCCCTCTCTCGCTGTCTCTCTCTCTCTCTCTGTTTCAAAAAATAAACAAAATCTTAAAAAAAATTTTTTAAATAAAAAATAAAGAATTACAGCCAAAGAAACCTTAAGATGAGAATTTAGTTTGACTTTAATAGTGCCCAAAGTGCCTAGCAAAAGGCAACCTAAATCCTCTGGAGAAATACACAGTAAACTTGGGCCTCAAAAAATTCTCACAGATAAAAGTTCCAAGTAACTTGAGCTCACAATTAAAAAAAATCGCTAAACCCACAAAAAAAATCGCTAAACCCACAAACAAAATACCATGAGCTAGAGTCCATAGAACCAACAAACCAGGAAATCAAACTGCAGGTATTAGTATTTTCTGAGAGGGAATATAAAATAAGTATGGCTAATATGTTTAAAGATATAAAAGAAGACACTGAGAATATGTTGAAGGAACAAGAGACAATCAGAAATGATGAAGATGATTTGAAAAGGAAACAAACAGAACTTTTGGAAATAAAAAAAATACAGTAACTAAAATTGTAAAAACTCAATCGCTAGTTAAAAAAGATTAAACACAACAAAAGAAAAGTAATGACAAGGAAGATAGATTTGATGATTATAAAAAAAAAGCAGTATGAAGAAACTATGAGACAGAATGTAGGAGATTTTGAGACATAGAGGATAGGATGAAAGGACCCAATATACCTATAATCAGAGTTGCACAAGGAAAACAGAAATGAGGGAGATGAAATACTTGAAGAGAGAATTGAAAATATAAACAAAGAGATGAAGAGATTATTGTCTGTTTTATTTTCTGCTATATCACCTGCCTTTGGCATGAGTACCCTACACATATGTGGTGAATTAATAAAAGACCAAAGATCTAACATATATCTAACCAGAGTTTTACAAAGAGGAAACAGAATGAGAAGAGACAGTAGCTGAGCAGTTTCAAGAACAGACAGAAGGTTACCATTCATTAGACTCAGAAATCCCAGAATATCCTGAGGATAAATTTTTTAATACTCACACTTCAATACATCATAGTGAAATTGCACCAAGAGAGAAAAGACAAATTACCTACAAAGAAATAACAACTGAAATGACAGCTGATGGTCTGAACATAGCAACAGAAACTAAAAGACAATGAAATGAGACTTTCAAAATATTAAGAGAAAATAATTGCCAACACAGAATTCCAAACCCAGTAAAATGTTAGGACCTAGAGCAAACTAAAGGCATTTTCAGATAAAAACTAAGCCACCCACAGGCTCTAACTAAAAAAAAAAAAACCTCCCGGAGGGTGCCCATTTGACTCTGTTGGTAGAGCATGTGACTCTTGATCTCAGGGTTCTGAGTACAAGCCCTACACTGGGAACTGAGCCTACTTAAAAAAATTATTTTCTAATTAAAAAAAAAAAAAATTTAAAAACCTCCCAAAGATTTGGGGCACTCAGTCAGCTGAGGGCCCCAAATCTTGATCTCGGCTCAGATCTAGATCTCATGGTCATGAGTTCAAGCCCCACACTGGGCTTAGTGCTGGGCATGGAGACTACTTAAAAAACAAAAACAAAGGGCGCCTGGGTGGCTCAGTTGGTTAAGCGACTGCCTTCGGCTCAGGTCGTGATCCTGGGGTCCCTGGATTGAGTCCCGCATCGGGCTCCCTGCTCGGCAGGGAGTCTGCTTCTCCCTCTGACCCTCCCCCCTCTCATGTGCTCTCTCTCATTCTGTCTCTCTCAAATAAATAAATAAAATCTTAAAGCAATATATGTTAAGAAAAAAAAAAAGAAGAAGAAGAAGAGGGTAGCGGGAGGGGAAGAGTGAAGCAGGGGAAATCGGAGGGGTAGACGAACCATGAGAGACGGTGGATTCTGAAAAACAAACGGGGTTCTAGAGGGGAGGGGGGTGGGAGGATGGGTTAGCCTGGTGGTGGGTATTGAGGAGGGCACGTTCTGCATGGAGCACTGGGTGTTGTGCACAAACAATGAATCATGGAACACTTCATCTAAAACTAATGATGTAATGTATGGGGATTAACATAAGAATAAAAAAAATAAAAAATAAATAAATAAAATAAAATAAAATAAAATCTTAAAAAAAACAAAAAACAACAAAAAAAAAACAAAAACAAAAACATGCTAAGCAAAATAAGTCAATCAGAGAAAGACAATTATCATATGATCTCACTGATATGTGGAATTTAAGAAACAAGGCAGAGGATCCTAGGGAAAGAGAGGAAAAAATGAAACAAGATGAAACCAGAGAGGGAGACAAACCGTAAGAGACACTCTTGGTCTTAGGAAACAAACTGAGGGTTGATGGAGGGGAGGGGGGGAGGGGGATGAGGTGGCTGGGTGATGGACATTGGGAAGGGTATGTGTTGTAATGAACACTGGGTATTATATAAGACTGATGAATCACAGACATGTACCCCTGAAACAAATAATCCATTATATGTTAATTACTTGAATTTAAATTTTAAAAAAATTTAATAACAAAAACAAACAAAAAAACCTCCCAAAGATGTACTTCAGGAAGAAAGAAAATTATCTCAAAAGAAGATGCAATATGTAAAAAGGAAGGTTAAGCACAGAAAATGATAAACATGAGGGTAAACCTAAGTAAATATTAATTTCTAAAAACAGTGATTAATCTTAGGCAATAATAACATTCTAATAGCGGGGGTGAGATTTGTAACTAGAGTTAAAGCATCTCATGGCCCTTGCGTTGTTCAGAAAGAGAACAGAAATATTAATTTTAGACTTTGTTAAGTTAAATAGGTATATGAAAATCTCCACACCATGCCCTGAAAGAACAAAATAAAGCATAACTTCCAAACCATCAGGAGAAAGTGGAATTAGGGTGGGGAACTGGCTAGTCAGGTCCAAGTCACAGGGATTCAGAGGTAAAGAGTAAAAGGATAGAAAAAGATATATCAAGCAAAAATTAACCTAAAGAAAACTAGTGAAGCTTTATTAACTTTAGAGGAAATGGACTTTAAGATAATAGAATTACTGTAAATAAACAACACAACAGGGACACAACAGTAATGTCATGAAATTCAAGTCACAAGGGAAAAAACTCTACATCACCTAATAATATAGATACAAAGTATACAAACAAAAATTGACAAAACTACAAAGAGAAATTGCAGCTCTCTCAACTGGTAGTTTAATTGGGCAAAAATAAGCAAGGATATAAAAAACTAACATCAAAACAATAATACTGAGTTAATGGATACATGCAGAATATTAAGCTAGAGAACATATATTTTTCAGGCACACATAGAACATTTATAAAACCTGATCATATAGTATGCCAAGTCTCAATACATTTCAAAGAATATGTACCATAAGAAAGATTCTCTTTCTACCGTGCAATTAAATTTTAAAAATGTCAAAAAAATCATTTTTAAAGCCTAAATATTTTTAAAATTTTAAATATGCTTCTGAATAATTCAAGAGGCAAAGCATAATCACAACAGAACACAGAGGGGCACCTTGGTGGCTCAGTTGGTTAAGTGTCTGCCTTCAGCTCAGGTCATGATCCTGGGTCCTGGGACTGAGCCTCGCATTGGGCACCTTGCTCAGCAGGGAGTTTGCTTCTCCCTCTCCCTCTGCCCCTCCCCTCATGCTCTCACTTGCTCACTTTCTCTCTCTCTCAAATGAATAAAAAATCTTAAAAAGAAAAAGAGGTCCCAGCGTGATAATGATTGCCAATTCCCCCCTAATTACTCAAAGGTATAGAATAATGTAATTTCAGTCAAAATCCCAACAGGGTTTTTCTTAGGACTTTGACAATCTGATTTTTTTTTTTTTTTACTTTGGAGTAAAACAAGATTTCATTGTTGACAAGTTTACTTCTGAGTTGCAGAAATTCTTCTGGTTTTTCCCTGTACTCCCCCATTCAATCTTGACTGCCATAATGAGACAGATGATTTTTTTTTTAAGGCATATATACGTGGGTACCTGGATGGTTCAGTCCATTAAGCATCTGCCTTCAGCTCGGGTCATGATCCCATGGTCCCGGGATTAAGGCCCACATCGAAGCCCCCTGCTCAGTGGGGAGTCTGCTTCTCCCTTCCACCCTCCCACTCATGCTGTCTCTCACACACGCGCTCTCTGTCTGAAATAAATAAAAATCTTTAAATAAATAAATAAATAAATAATGGCATATATGTGTGTATTAGGTGTATTAGCTTTCTATTGCTACATAACAATTATTACAAATTTAGCAGCTTAAAACATCTCACAATTCTGTAGGTCAGAAGTCTGAATGGGTTTAACTTGATTCTTTGCTCAGGGTCTCACAAGGCCAAAATAAGAAGGCAATCAATCTGAACTCTTAACTGGAGGCCCGGGGAAGGAATCCACTTCCAAGCTCATTCAGGCTATTGGCACAATTCAATGCCTTGCTGCCACAGCCTGAGGTCCCATTTCCTTGCTGACCGTCAGCTGGGAGCTACTCTCCGTCTGCAGCCAGCCGGAGGCCACTTGTGTTCCTCCAGACATGGCCCTTCCATTGTCAAACCAGCAACAACCTTAGGCCCTTATGTTTTGAATCTCTCAGGAGTCCCTTTCTGCTGCCAGCTAAAAAAGTTCTCTGCTTCTAAGGGCTCCTGTGATTGCACTGAGCAACCGCGGATAATCCAACTCTCCCTATTTTAAAGTCAACTGTGCCATAGAACCTAACAATCACTCTTGAGTGAGATATTGTTTTCACAGTTCTGGGGAATAGGGCAGGACATCTTTGGGGAGCCATTTTATAAATTCTGCCTACTGCAATATGAATGAGCAAAGCCCATAATACCTAAAACATTCCTGAAGTGGAAATATCAGGTAGGAGAATTTGCCTCACAATATATCAAGCCTTATTATAAAATTATAATAGTAAGACACAGCAGTAGTGATCAGAACGAACAATCAGAAACAGACCCATGCATATATGAAAACCTGAGATAGAGCTGATAATGCAGATTAGCGGGGAAAAATACACTATTCAATAAATTGATTGAAACTGATTACCCAGGTGAAAAAATTTTAAAATAAATCCTTATCTCACATGTTATATATAAAATTCAATTTTAAGAAGGACTTAAGTAGGAGAGACAAATCTTAAAGCTTTTAGAAGAAAATCTTAGGAAAATACCTTTGTGACTTGGAGTAGGGAAGAATTTCTTAGAGATACAAAAAGCACAAATCATAAAGGAAAATGATTAATAAATTTCACTATTTTATCCTGTTCATCAAGACACCTTAAGATGTAGGGCTCCTGGCTAGCTCAGTCGAAAAGCATGCGACTCTTGATCTCAGGGTCTCAAGTTCAAGCTGCACATTGGGTATGACCCCCTCCAACTCTGGATGCCAATCTCAAGTCTAGACTGCAACCTGCAATTCTGACCGACTGGCTATAGATCAGATGTTCCCACAACCTCCTCCTTTGGTCCTTTGCTAGAGCAGCTCTCAGAACTCAGGTAGACATTTACTTACTAGACTGGTAAAAGGATGTAACTCAGAACAGCCAGATGGAAGAGATGTATAGGGCAAGGTGTGGGGAAAGGGCACTGAGCTTCCATTCCCTCTGAATCTCCATGTGTTCACCAACCCCATCCTACTTTTGGGTTTTTATGAAGGCTTTATTACAAAAGCATACTTAATTAAAACACTGGCCACTGGTGATTGATTCAACCTCCAGCCCTCTCTCCCCTCCCTGGAAATCAGAAGGTAGGACTGAAAGCTCCAACCCTCAAATGATGCAGTTTGGTTTTCCTGGCAACCAGTCCCCAACCTTAGGTGGGTCCAAAGGCCAGCATTACCATAACAAAAGACAACTTTATCACTTTCACTTAGAAAATCCCAAGGATTCTTAGGGGCTGTGCCAGAAGGAGGACAAAGACCAAATATATATTTCTTACAAATCACAATATGATAGGAAGATACCATTTATTATTCTTGGTCATCCTGAAAGCCAGACTGAAGGACTTGATCACCAGTAAGATATTTTTGCTGCACAGCAGACACTCAATAAACATTTTGGGGTTAAATGATCTGATGTAAGGATCAAACAAGATAATAGTTGTGAACCATTAATATGCTGATTATACTCCTACACTACTAGAAAAGAAAATACGTTGGGCATCTGGTTGGCTCAGTCGGTTAAGCGGCTGCCTTCGGCTCAGGTCATGATCCCAGGGTCATGGGATCCAGCCCCGAATGGGGCTCCCTGCTCAGCAGACAGCCTGCTTCTCTCTCTCCCTCTGCTGCTCCCCACCTCCCCCACTCATTCTCTCTCTCTCTTTCTCTGCTCTCTCTCCCTAATAAGTGAATAAAATCTTTAAAAAGAAAAATAGGGCACCTGGGTGGCTCAGTCAGTTAAGTGTCTGCCTTTGGCTCAGGTGGTGATCTCAGGGTCCTGGGATACAGCCGCGCATGGGGCTCCCTGCTTAGCAGGGAGCCTGCTTCTCCCTCTCCTCCCCACTTGTGCTTTCTCGCTCTCTCTCTCTCATATAAATAAATAAAATCTTGGGGTGCCTGGGTGGCTCAGTCGGTTAAGCATCTGCCTTCAGTCAGGTCACGATCCCGGGTTCCCGGGATTGAGCCCCGTGTTGGGCTCCCTGCTCAGCAGGAAGTCTGCTTCTCTATCCCCCTGCCCCCCGCCCCTCCACCCTGCTCGCCCCTCCACCCTCCTCGTGCTCTCTCTCTCTCGCTCACTCTTTCTCTCAGATAAATAAAATCTTTAAAAATAAATAAATGCTTTAAAAAAAAAGAAAATACGGTTCATACATATTATCTCAGGTAATCCCCACAACCCTGTTAAAATACATATTAATATTCCCACTTTGTAGAAGAGGTATCTTTGTAAAAGGTTCATGGAGATTAAGTAACTACTCTAAGATCCAGCAGCTAACAAGGGAAAAAAACTAGGATTTGAACCCAAGTCTACCGCTGCATCCAAGTGATTTTACTTCCTCACTATTTCTCAAATTCATTTATCCATCTTTTAGCTGGCTTAGTTTGACTTCTTTCTCAGAAGCCACAGAGTAGTGTCCTAAAAGCACTGATTTTGGAATAAAATACAACTGTATTTGAATCCTAGGTGTCATTTATCAGTTGTCTCATTTTCCATTTGTAAATTAGAGACAATACCTATCTTCAGTAGTCATGGTAAGTAAAAGAAAAGGCTCAGTGTCTAGCATATGATAAATACTTAAAAGGTAGCTCATACTTCTATTATTATGATTCTCTTTACCTCCAACCTGCTTCCTACAATCCTTTTTCATTACAATGAAAGTTATTTTTCTAAAACACAAGTAATTTGCCAAGCAAATTGTATAGCTAAATCTCGAGCTGCTCCCTCCCCATCTTTTTATTCCTTTTTTTTATGCTACAACAATACTGACTACTTAAAACCATGCTCTCATTCTACCATGTTTTTGTCCATGTTCCCCATTTCATTTGTCTCGCAAATTCCAACTCATCCTACAAACCTTGAACTCAAACATCATCTTCTCTGAAAAGTTTTCTCTAATGCAACCTGGTCATTCACTTCTCTATGTTACCTTTGTACTTTACAAATACTTCTAGTCATAATAATCACATTGTCCTATGACCACTTACCTACTAAAATGTGGACCCTTTCAGTACTGGATATTCATGTATTTTAACACCTAGCACATTGCCTGGAACATGCGCAGTGCTAAATAAATACTCACAGGGTGAAATCTAATCCTATCCCCTGTCCAGGACCACGTACCATCAATTCTCCCTCCCTTTCTCTCACATCATTCCCAGTCTTAGTCTCCACTGGTCTCTTCCCTTCAGTCTAGTAACACGGCTTCTCTACCCTAAACAAACAAACAAAAGCCTCTTTTGATTCCACTCCCACCTTGAGGTAATACCTCAGTTCTTTCTTCCATGAGCAATCATTTCTCAACTTGTCATCTTCCCCCTTAGAATACATTTTTGTTTTCTCATGTCATAAACTATGCTTCTATTTAGCTCTTACACATATTTTTTTTTTTTAAGATTTTATTTATTTGACAGAGAGAGAGACAGCTAGAGAGGGAACACAAGCAGGGGGAGTGGGAGAGGGAGAAGCAGGCTCCCGGCTGAGCAGGAAGCCCGATGCTGGGCTCCATCCCAGGACCCCGATATCATGACCTGAGCCGAAGGCAGATGCCCAACGACTGAGCCACCCAGGCGCCCCTACACATATTATTTTTACTAGAATTCAATGTTTAAGTGTATTTTCTTGACTATACCAATAAAGCCTCAAATTCTTCTCTGTCCCAGTCAGATAACTATAAATTATTACAAAAAGGAGGAGGAGGAAGAGGGAGAGGGGAAGGGGGAGGAAACTATTCAAAGGAATATTTACCCATCTTTTAAACAGTAAAGATGTGTTACCTGAGTAAGAATTAAGAGAAACTGTCCACCGTACTATTAGTCCTAATAGGACCACAATTGCCATCAAGTACCATTTCTCCATATTTTTTCTTCAATTCTAAGGAGAGAAAAAAACAGGACCAGTGCCAGAATACTTTTAACATGTAGTCAGTCACTTCTTCATCAGAGAAAGGTTATCAATTCTTTGGGATTAGGAGTTTGAGAGAATTTTAAGTGATGCTTCGTTTCCAGTTAAATACTGACTTATGTCTATGAAGAAGTAGCCTGGAGAGGAAAAAAAAAAAAGACCAAGAGTTAGCTGAGCACAGTATAACAAAGAACCCATTAAACCAACCAGGAAGATGGAGAATTGGGGGTGTTGAAAAGGAGGAAAAGTGGGTAGTTTTAAGTTCTTTATTCCCTAGTCCTCAGTTGGGAAATATACCTCAAAAGGTAGCTCTCCCTATTAAATGGGACTCAATATATCTGAAGTTGTGGTAAGGATCTTTCTTACAAGGGAACAATCCTGAATGAAGAAAAACAACAGACATATATAGATAGTAGAAAAGTCAATTCCATCTAAAGCATGTTTATCTACACGTAAAAGTAATACTACAAAAGTTAACAAAGAGATGATTTATCTTTGGTACAGAGAGAAAGAGGAATTTTACCTTTCTATTTAGTTTAAGAAAGTCTTCCACTAAAGTAATTTATGTAGTTTAATTTTTATTTCTTTTCTTCCAAAATATACTTTCACTAACTACACCATCTTTCCATCTTAGAGAATGAACCTTTACAAGAATCAATAACCCCAATTCTTTTTTTTTTTTTTTAAAGACTTTATTTATTTTTCTGACACAGAGAGAGAGCACAAGCAGGGGGAGCGGCAGGCAGAGGGAGAGGGAAAAGCAGGCTCCCCGCTGAGCAGGGAGCCCCAGGCAGGGCTCAATCCCAAGACCCTGGGATCATGACCTGACCTGAAGACAGACGTTTAACTGACTGAACCACCCAGGCACCCCAATAACCCCAATTCTTAAAAGAAAAAAGCAGTAAGATGCAATTAACCATTTACATGTTTCATTTTTTTCAGTTTTTTCCTTGAGTTGGAATGGTTTAAAAGTAAAAAAGCTTTGAGAAATTATGGGCCATTTTAACCACAGGATATACTTTTTTTTTTTTTTTAAGATTTTATTTATTTGTCAGAGAGAGACACAGCAAGAGGGAACACAAGCAAGGGGAGCAGGAGGGGAAGAAGCAGGTTCCCCGCAGAGCAGGGAGCCCGATGCGGGGCTTGATCCCAGGACCCCAAGATCATGACCTGAGCCGAAGGCAGACGCCTAATGACTGAGCCACCCAGGCGCCCCCACAGGATATACTTTAAAAAATAACCAGAAAAATACAATAAGTCAACTGAATAAACTAGGGGAAAATTGGTACATTCCACGTACTGAGTAAAAAAAATTTTTAAGAATGTAATTAAACATATTAGTTTTATTTTTTTTAAGTTTATTTTAATTCCAGTATAGTTAACATACAGTATTGTATCAGTTTCAAGTATACAACATAGTGACAAAAATTATTCTCTTATTTAAATATAGCAAGGGTCTGGGCGCCTGGGTGGCTCAGCTGGTTAATCATCTACCTAGGGCTTGGGTCTGTGGTCCTGGGATCTAGCCCCTCGTCAGGCTCCCTGTGGAGCTTCTCCCTCTCCCTCTGCCTCTCTTTCTCTCTCTCTCATGAATAAATGAATAAAATATTTAAAAAACAAAACAAAAATAAATACATAAATATAGCAAGAGTCAACTCTAGAACTAATGAAGTCTAGCATCTCAATTAGGGAGAATGACTCAAAGCAGTAAATAAGGCTATGTAAACATATTATTCACATTTGGATTATATAAATGCTGTTTCCTCCCTGCTACCACATCCATTTTTTATCATTTTACTATTCACTAGAACTTCTATCACAGAGGCAAGGTAAGAGGAAAAATTAAAATTCAATCACTCTGGCACACCTGGGTGGCTCAGTCAGTTAAGCCTCTGCCTTCGGCTCAGGTCATGATCCCAGGGTCATGGGATGGAGTCCCGCATGGTCTCCTTGCTCAGGGGGGAGCCTGCTTCTCCCTCTGTCTGACACTCCCCCTGCTTGTGCACTCAATCTCTCTCTCTCTCAGACATAAATAAAATCTTAAAAAAAAAAAAAGAATAGTCTAGACACTAGACACCAAAGCATACATATTATATGGTTCCATTTATGAAAGGCTCATAAACAGACAAAACTAATCTATGGTTAGATATCAATAAAAGAGAAAAGAGAGGATGGTGATTGGGAGAGGTCTCCAGGGAGGTCTTTCTGAGAAGAAGGTGAGAACATTCTGTATTTTTGTTGGTGTTGTTGTTGTTTTGTTGTTTTGAGGGAGGAAGTGTGGGAGGGGCAGAGGAAGAGGAAGAGGGAGAGAGAGCGAGAATCTTACGCAGACTCCAGGCCCAGTAAGGAACCCCACGTTAGGCTTGAACTCACCACCCTGAGATCATGACCTGATCAAGAGTCCCTCGCTTAACTAACTGGGCCATCCAGGTGCCCCAAATGTTGTTTCTTGATTTGAGTGGTGGTTAAAAGATGCGTTTACTTTACAATAAATCAACAAGTTACAACTTATGATTGCTGTATTTTCTTGCACGTTATATTCCAATAAAAAAGCATAAAAGGAGGGCGCCTGGGTGGCTCAGGAGTCCCGGGATCGAGTCCCGCACCGGGCTCCCTGCTCGGCGGGGAGTCTGCTTCTCCCTCTGACCCTCCTCCCTCTCGTGCTCTGTCTCTCATTCTCTCTCTCTCAAATAAATAAATAAAATCTTTATTTAAAAAAAGCATAAAAGGAAATTACATTTTTTAAAAAAGAAAATTACAGGGCGCCTGGGTGGCTCAGTTGGTTAAGCAACTGCCTTCGGCTCGGGTCATGATCCTGGAGTCCCGGGATCGAGTCCCGCATCGGGCTCCCTGCTCAGCAGGGAGTCTGCTTCTCCCTCTGACCCTCCTCCCTCTCATGCTCTCTGTCTCTCATTCTCTCTCTCGCAAATAAATAAAATCTTAAAAAAAAAATAAAAAAAAATAAAAAAGAAAATTACATTTGACAACTACAATGTAAGTTCCGTGCAAGCAAGGATCCTCTTGTCTTAGCCCCTGGCTCTGTTCCCTGCACTTAGAACAATGTTGCAAAAAGCAGGTACTCATAAAATATTTGCTGAATGGAGATCTTCCTGTGTACGAAGAGGGGAAGTACCTAATTTTACTGAGTCCTCTGTGGCCAAAGATATTATGAGACTTAACGGATCTCTTCTTGAACAGTAGCAAGGGTGCTTTATTACTTTTTCTATCTGCAAAGCACAGTAACTTTCTAACCCATCCACACGACACGAAGTCTTTACGCAGGTGGCAGGTAAGTTTTCCGTCCTACTTTGCCCTAAGATTAGTAGATTTCGATCAAAAGCAAAAATAAAACAAACAAAACCTCAGTGACATTTCGATCAAAAACAAAAATAAAACAAAACCTCAGCGGTTCACTTCCAGGGCCGAATTTGTTCTTTTTAGAACCTCTGAGAGGTCCTTCCTCCAAGGTGGACACAACACCCAGGGAGTGCGGCTCTCCCCGAGGAGCACGTCTGGCAAAAGGGACCGTCCTAACGTTTCTCCTCCCTTTCTCCAGCGGGCCAGACCCTCAAGACCGCAGGAACAAGGGCGTCAAAGGAGCCAAGGCTGCTGCCAAGCCAAGGGGTCCCACCACCATCAGCACGCCCCGTCACCCGACCCCCAAGCGAGACAGCAGGCTGACCCGGGGAGGCCTCGCCAGCCGCCCCTCTGAGAGGAGCGGGACCTGGAGCGGGTCTGCTACCTGCGCGCGGGATCGCTGCGCGTCGCAAGTCCCCCTCCCCTCCGCACCCTGGCCCCGCAGCCCAGACGTCCCAAGATTCCGGCCTCTTACCCCACCGCCCGCCGAACGTTACCAGTGGCGCCCACAGCTATCCCAAGAAGGCGCCTGCGCGCTCGCCCGCGGGGCGGAGCGCTTCTCTCCGCTTTCCGTTTCCGCGTGCGCGCGCGCCGAGCGCGGGAGCGAGCCCGTCGAACGTGAGGGGAGGGTCCGGGAAAAGGCGCGGAGAGGAGGTGGCAGGCTTAGGAGGCGGAGCAGCGGCGGCTGGAACGCGAGAGGCCTCTCACCCCGGGTTAGGCTTGGGGCAGGTGGAAAGCCCCTTGCTCTTCTTTCCCGGGATGATGGCCAAGTCCTGAACGGATGCTTAGTCCACGGATTCCTGTCAGGGGCGGGTCCTGGCTCCCTTCACAGAGTGGAGAGCCCTTGGCTAATCCTCACCACCAGGCAGCGGGTCTTCCTCTGTGCCTGTGCCCTCGAGGAGCCAGAAAGCCAACCTGCTTCACTTTCTTCAAGCCACGTGCCTGCGAAGAAGAATGTATTAAGGCTGGTAAGTCACTTCGTGTAAGAAACATTAAACGTCCAACCATTTTTGAGCCTGTGGGTTATACAAAAGAACAGCCCTGCCCTCAAGTAGCCACTACACCTTTCCGGTCAGGCAGCTTGGATCACCTATTCCCAAACCTGCCCAAAATAACTACCTTGCCTCCTTTGTTCAGTGAATGCACACATTCCTCTCTGCTGAATCCTATCATTCTCTATAAGCCAACGCCTCTGATTTATAATCCATAAATACCGGCAAATATTTGACTATGGCTGTATACTAAGTGGGTCTGCACAACTCTCTGGATCTATTTTTCTTCATCTGTGAAATGAGTGATAGGTCTATGTAAACTTCCACATCTAAAACTTTATTCTATATTTAAAAGACTGTCGAGGGGCGCCTGGGTGGCTCAGTTGGTTATGCGTCTGCCTTCGTCTCAGGTCATGATCTCAGGGTTCTGGGGTGGAACCCCACCCGGGGCTTCCTGCTCAATAGGGAGCCTGATTCTCCCTCTACCCTCTGCTCGTGCTCTCTCTTGCTATCTCTCTTTCAAATAAATAAAATCCTTAAAAAAAAAAAGAAAACAAATAAAAGTAAAAGACTGTCAGTACTAGAAATATGGCCAAGTCCCTGCCCTCAAGAGATTTCTCATTGGAAAGACATTTTCATACATAAAAGGATAGAAAGCAATAGAAGGGAGCACATGCTAAATGTCAGATTATTGGTATATGCATTAAGTAGTGTAGGAGTTCAGAGAAGAAATGAAAACTGTAAATTAAACTATCAGGAAATGCTTTCCCTGGCGCAGTCAGCTGAGCTTTGAAGGAAAGCCTGGAGGATGGGAGTAGGACTCCAGGCAAAGGAAAATGGTTCAAGTCAAAATTGTGGCAGCTGAAAAATGCAGAACATTTCCTCCAGTTCAGATGATGGGTGATGAAGCTGGAAAGGAATAATTGTGGAGAGCCTTGAATATGGTGGCTCCGCAAGATATTCTTGAATATCTTTGGAATTTATTCAATGATCAGTAAGGAGCCAATAAATGACTTTTAGCAGGGATTCGAGTGTACAGTACAGTCTTAGAGAAAATTTAAAGTGGTAATAATGGATAAGATCAATCAGAAGAAGAGGTAGAAATCATTATAGTAGTCCATGCATGATTAGACAAAGGCCTGGTCTGAGATGGTAATAGTGGAACTGGAAAAGAAGAAATCAATGCAACAGGAAGAATGGGCAGGTCCTGGTAACAGTATATACATAGAAGAAGTGAAACAAAGGAGAGGGTAGAATCAAGGAAGGCTACCAAGGTTTCAAGTCTGAATTACTAGAAGATCTGAAAGATGTAGGGAAGCTTAGGGAGAAGCTGGCTTGGAGGGAAAGGCAATGCATTGTATTGAGTTTGAGGTGACAGCAGGACAACAAGTTAATAATCTTCAGGTACCAGTTATGAATCAGAGCCTAGAAAAAAATTGGACTTGAAGATAGAGATATGAAAGTCTTTCATTTGGCTGAAGAATGAGGGAGACAGTACAGTGGGAGAATAGACAACCATACTTCAGTAAACCCATATTTAAGGTCAGAAGGAAAAATACAAGCTAATGAAGGATATTACATGGTTACAAGCATAGGGGGAAATCCAGGACATTGCAAGATATAAAGCATCTTGTGGATAAGAACCATGTTTGGCAGACTAAAAATCATGTTTTATTGAATCTTATTGACTCTATCAATTGTAGGAAGCACCATTATTTTATGTACCACTAAGTAAGAAGGTTCCCATTTAAACTAGTTATGACAGTAAAACATACAATTTCAGAAATATTAATATGTGAGAAATATAGATCTTCAAATGATGAAATTGGTATAAGCCTCTCTCCTTTCTGCCTAGCTTCTGGCAGAGTATGAAGAACACAGTTGGTACTTAAAATGTTCATTGAGGGGCGCCTGGGTGGCTCAGTCATTAAGCGTCTACCTTTGGCTCAGGTCATGATCCCAGGTCCTGGGATCGAGCCCCACATGGGGCTCCCTGCTTGGCAGGAAGCCTGCTTCTCCCTCTCCCACTTCCCCTGCTTGTGTTCCCTCCCTCGCTGTGTCTCTCTCTGTCAAATAAATAAATAAAATCTTTTAAAAAATAAATAAATAAATGTTCGTTGAATAAATAGCAGAAGAGACTTCATAGCCTCTGATTCATAGCTGAACTGCCTACCAGTACATCTACATCCTACTGCTGCTCTTTCCTTCTAGTAGATACTATCATCTCTGAAAGCCCAGTACCTGTACATAACAGAGTAAATGCATTTTGAATGAGGTCATTAGGGTAAGCCCTAATCCAATCTGACTGGTCTCCTCATAAGAAAAGGAAATTTGGTCACAGACATACCCATACACAGAGAGACCATGTGAAGACACAGGGAGAAGATGAGCATCTACAGCCAAGGAAAGAGGTCTCAGAAGAAATCAACCTTGTTGACACCTTGATCTTGGACTTTTGGCCTCCAGAAGTGTGAGAAAATAAATTTTTGTTGTTTAAGTCATCCAATCTGTGGTATTTTGTATGGCAGCCCTAATAAACTAATATATACCTTGTGAAAGGTACTGTCAATACTCAAAGCACTAGGCAAACTTCCTCACACAAATCATACTTTAATGGTAGTTTCTAGCTCCTTCCCTAGATTACTTCCCCACTAAGAAAACAAGCCCTTTTCTATCTCAAGCCTAGGGCTTCCCTGAGTCTAGGTGAAAATCACTCGTCTGGTCATAGCTGTTCTTTGAAATAGAATCATTTTACCAGTCTGTACATCTTCTTAATTTGATCCTTGTATGTCATTTTTCTTTATTCTGCAATCTCCAAGTTTCATTATACCCTTGCCCTCTCCAAGGAATAAGTCCACCTAAGTAGCATAGAGTTAGAGTTAACCCCCACATTTCCAAATTTGATTAGAGCCATTAGCAAACTAGTAGCCTCTTTTATATACTAAAAATCTTTCATATCCAATTCACTTGATCCAGACAATAACTCAGAGAATGTTAGAACAGGTATTATTATCCCTTTCTGACATACAAGAAAACTTGAGAGCAACATTTCCCAAAGTATGCTCCATAGAACTCTCATTCAGTGAAATGCGCATTGTTAAAAAAAAAAAAAAAAAAAGTCTCTTAACGCAGAGATAAATAAGTTTGAAAACAATGGGTTATACTAATGTAAAAAGGATTCCTCACTCCAGGTCTTTTCAGAGCCTTTTATGTGTTATATACATCATGATTCTCCAAGAGAATATGGAATTTTCAGACTTATTTGACCATGGTATCCTATCCTCACACTCCACCCTACCTCCCACTTCCCATCTTACAGAGTGGCCCATGAAACACATATGGGAAATGCTGATTTGAGACATTGTGTAATTTCTATAAGAGATATAGCAAATAAATGTCAGAACTATGATTAAACGTGGATCTTACTCTGATTCATTTTGGGGTCTATATAAAAGAAGTTCAAAAGCGTAGAGATTGCATACCAAAAAATGCCAAAACATTGACATGAAGACTATCCTTAGTAAGATTATGAACTTTCAAAGTTAATTATAAAACAAAACTAAATGGAAAAAAGAAATCCCTAAAAATCAGAAATAAAATGAAACAAACTGTAATGTGTGTCCAGGTGTGGCTTAACTACACAGAAAATAACTCTTCCAAGTGACTTTAAAACATGATAATTTGACAATAAATCCCTACTGGTGTATACCCTAAGGAAAAAGATCTGTTTAAAAAAATAAAATAATTGTTATTAGTAATTGTGTTGTTGGTATTAGGATTAGTGTTGTCATTTTAAAACTACTGTATGTGTAAAGTGGGGTAAAGAACATGAAGATTTATGTGATATTCAAATTTTATCATGCTGGTGTTTTGACATCAGGATTCTTGGTGTGAAAAATGAATTAAAGATGTAAGATGGAAGTTAACTATCAGTATAAACTCATGATTTATTTTATTGAATTATGGAAGGGAAGGAAAGAGAGGGAGAAAGAAAGGGAGGGAGGAAACAAAGAAAACCTATTGCCTAGCTTTTTTTACTGAAAGGACTAAAAACAAAGACCAATGCAATAATAATGAGCATCCTTAGCACACAGATTGTGTCTTGAAATTCAATCCTACTAAAAGGAACGAGGGATCCTCAGAGAAATAGCTAACTACAAGTCTGTTAAAGAAATATACAAAAATCTGGAACATTTTGTTATACTATCAAGGAAACTATCAAAAACTACAGCCAATGTCAAAAAGTCTCTGAGCCAACTTAAAGAGACTCCCACTGGTCATAGGTGGGACACATTGAGCATCAGTAAGCATAATAACCAATGGACTGAAACACATCAAATTTGAATTGTCTGTGAAATTGTCACATTTTCCATGAGCTCATAATAATATTTAAAAAAATCATCAATGGACGAAGCTAGTAAACCACTTATTATTTTGAAAATTGGCAAATAAAGAATCAGGTATTCTGCTTTTGTTATACAAATTATTCCACTGGGTAGCCAAATAGTTTTTACACACACACACACACACACACGGAGTCATCCTTGTTTCAAACCACCAAACAGCCTTGTAGATGAGACTAATTGCTTTTGACACTTGAGAAACTTACCTCATATTTGGATGGGACCAAAGTAGACTCAACTTAACTGCATCGTTATCTACTGTGAATAGAGTGATTTAAATTTCTTTATTGCTTAAATGAAGTTAATCAAGTTAATTTTACTTATGGATATCCTCATTTACTCAACAAATATTTATTGAATAAACAGCTTTCTTTTAAGGAGTTTATAGACCAGTATTATATACAGCCCAAGGGATAATAAATCATTGTTATTTTTACTGTCAATTTCAGATGGCACGTGGAATTATTCTCATACAAATACAGATTTTTCAACTGTATATACATAATCATACATATAAAATAATTTTGTTGATATGGACCTAAGAGAAATAATACATGTTTCTGCCATATAGCT